CTGAGCTGAAAAATATAAAGTAAATATAATTTAGGCTAGGCCTATTCGGCTATCTAAATATGCCATGCTGTTGTGTGTTATTTAATGGCCATATAATTGCATAATAAATTTTTATAGCCGTGTGGGGCTACTACAGTGGGGAAAAAAAGTATTTAGTCAGCCACCAATTGTGCAAGTTCTCCCACTTAAAAAGATGAGAGAGGCCTGTAATTTTCATCATAGGTACACGTCAACTATGACAGACAAAATGAGAAAAAAAAATCCAGAAAATCACATTGAAGGATTTTTAATGAATTTATTTGCAAATGATGGTGGAAAATAAGTATTCGGTCAATAACAAAAGTTTCTCAATACTTTGTTATATACCCTTTGTTGGCAATGACACAGGTCAAAGTTTTCTGTAAGTCTTCACAAGGTTTTCACACACTGTTGCTGGTATTTGGGCCCATTCCTCCATGCAGATCTCCTCTAGAGCAGTGATGATTTGGGGCTGTCGCTGGGCAACACAGACTTTCAACTCCCTCCAAAGATTTTCTATGGGGTTGAGATCTGGAGACTGGCTAGGCCACTCCAGGACCTTGAAATGCTTCTTACGAAGCCACTCCTTTGTTGCCCGGGTGGTGTGTTTGGGATCATTGTCATGCTGAAAGACCCAGCCACGTTTCATCTTCAATGCCCTTACTGATGGAAGGAGGTTTTCACTCAAAATCTCACGATACATGGCCCCATTCATTCTTTCCTTTACACGGATCAGTCATCCTGGTCCCTTTGCAGAAAAACAGCCCCAAAGCATGATGTTTCCACCTCCATGCTTCACAGTAGGTATGGTGTTCTTTGTATGCAACTCAGCATTCTTTGTCCTCCAAACACGACGAGTTGAGTTTTTACCAAAAAGTTATATTTTGGTTTCATCTGACCATATGACATTCTCCCAATCCTCTTCTGGATCATCCAAATGCACTCTAGCAAACTTCAGAAGGGCCTGGACATGTACTGTCTTAAGCAGGGGGACACCTCTAGCACTGCAGGATTTGAGTCCCTGGCGGCGTAGTGTGTTACTGATGGTAGGCTTTGTTACTTTGGTCCCAGCTCTCTGCAGGTCATTCACTAGGTCCCCCCGTGTGGTTCTGGGATTTTTGCTCACCGTTCTTGTGATCATTTTGACCCCACGGGGTGAGATCTTGCGTGGAGCCCCAGATTGAGGGAGATTATCAGTGGTCTTGTATGTCTTCCATTTCCTAATAATTGCTCCCACAGTTGATTTCTTCAAACCAAGCTGCTTACCTATTGCAGATTCAGTCTTCCCAGCCTGGTGCAGGTCTACAATTTTGTTTCTGGTGTCCTTTGACAGCTCTTTGGTCTTGGCCATAGTGGAGTTTGGAGTGTGACTGTTTGAGGTTGTGGACAGGTGTCTTTTATACTGATAATAAGTTCAAACAGGTGCCATTAATACAGGTAACGAGTGGAGGACAGAGGAGCCTCTTAAAGAAGAAGTTACAGGTCTGTGAGAGCCAGAAATCTTGCTTGTTTGTAGGTGACCAAATACTTATTTTCCACCATAATTTGCAAATAAATTCATTAAAAATCCTACAATGTGATTTTCTGGATTTTTTTTCCTCAATTTGTCTGTCATAGTTGACGTGCACCTATGATGAAAATTACAGGCCTCTCTCATCTTTTTAAGTGGGAGAACTTGCACAATTGGTGGCTGACTAAATACTTTTTTCCCCACTGTATGGTGATCATGTAACCTAATGAATCCCACTTTTTCCAGTATTTGGGAGCACGGACTGCAGGCCTTATATTAGGCATTTTGACTGTTGTATTAGTGAATTCCACTCTCTATGTAGGCTTGTTATAGCTATTTGCATTGCATAACCCCATCACGCAGAGGCTATATCCATATCAATAAATGAGACAAAACAAAATATTGATTAAGTCTTGGCTATAACCTGTCCTGAGCGAAATAGCCAAGGGGTCCCAAATGGTCAAGACCATCTATAACCTATTCTTATTGCCAGATCTGTTTTCTCTATCAGCTGCTGCATGTCCTTCTTCAAGTATTTAGTAAAACATTTATTTAGAGGCTATATTTAGAGGCCTGTGAGCTAGGGTCTCTTTTTAAGGGGAGCCCTATAATAAAAACAGTTATAAAACACAAATAGAGTTCTAAAATTATTCCCAAGAAACCAGTACCCAAGATGATAGCCTAAATTGCAATGCCTACAAGTTGAAGGCCTATTTGTCATTTGGATCGGCCTAAATTAAACATTGAATTATTAAAGTGATAGGCTAAAGAACTTTGGAGAATTTAGATAATTTTGAATACACATGAATTTCAAAAAACAAATGGATAAGACTGTTCTATTCTCTTGGATTTAGTTCCTATTGCAACTCAGACAAATGACTGAATGGATGACATACTGACTAAATGAACAGAATGAAGGATTAATTAAATGTTCCATCATGTTGGAATGATGAGTTGCACGCATCATGCATGCTCTGCACTTTATTTAGCTAGTAGGCAAATAGGCCTACATTAGGGTATAATGACTCTATGACTGCATGCCTCCAGAAGGTCATCTTCTAGGGCTGAGGAGTGCTTTTCCCAAGGCGCATGGTACTGTGGTGCTGCATGGAGATCACAAGCTCTTCAACTGGGCAGCAGTGTCGCGATGGAGGGAATAGCCTATACGGAGACTACCTAAAACCACCGCAACATAATTATTGTAAAGTGTGGGAATAAGCTTATGCCAGACTTAGCCTACAGTCGTGGTCAAACGTTTTGAGAATGACACAACTATTGGTCTTCACAAAGTTCGCTGCTTCAGTGTTATGAGATATTTTTGTCAGATGTTACTATGGTAAATTGAAGTATAATTACAAGCATTCCATAAGTGTCAAAGGCTTTTATTGACAATTACATTATGTTTATGCAAAGAGTCAATATTTGCAGTGTTGACCCTTCTTTTTCAAGACCTCTGCAATCCGCACTGGCATGCTGTCAATTAACTTCTGGGCCACATCCTAACTAATGGCAGCCCATTCTTGCATAATCAATGCTTGGAGTTTGTCAGAATTTGTGGGTTTTTGTTTGTCCACCCGCCTCTTGAGGATCGACCACAAGTTCTCAATGGGATTAAGGTCTGGGGAGTTTCCTGGCCATGGACCCAAAATGTAGATGTTTTGTTCCCCAAGCCACTTAGTTATCACTTTTGCCTTATGGCAAGGTGCTCCATCATGCTGGAAAAGGCATTGGTCATCACCAAACTGTTCTTAGATGGTTGGGAGAAGTTGCTCTCGGAGGATGTGTTGGTACCATTCTTTATTCATGGCTGTGTTCTTAGGCAAAATTGTGAGTGAGCCCACTCCCTTGGCTGAGAAGCAACCCCACACATGAATGGTCTCAGGATTCATCAGAGAAAATGACTTTACCCCAGTCCTCAGCAGTCCAATCCCTGTACCTTTTGCAGAATATCAATCTGTCCCTGATGTTTTTCCTGGAGAGAAGTGGCTTCTTTGCTGCCTTTCTTGACACAAGGCCATCCTCCAAAAGTCTTCGCCTCACTGTGCATGCAGATGCACTCACACCTGCCTGCTGCCATTCCTGAGCAAGCTCTGCACTGGTGGTGCCCCGATCCCGCAGATGAATCAACTTTAGGAGGCGGTCCTGGCGCTTGCTGGACTTTCTTGGGCGCCCTGACACCTTCTTCACAACAATTGAACCTCTCTCCTTGAAGTTCTTGATGATCCGATAAATGGTTGATTTAGGTGCAATCTTACTAGCAGCAATATACTTGCCTATGAAGCCCTTTTTGTGCAAAGCAATGATGATGGCACGTGTTTCCTTGCAGGTAACCATGGTTAACAGAGGATGAACAATGATTTCAAGCACCACCCTCCTTTTAAAGCTTCCAGTCTGTTATTCTAACTCAATCAGCATGACAGAGTTATCTCCAGCCTTGTCCTCGTCAACACTCTCACCTGTGTTAATGAGAGAATCACTGACATGATGGCAGCTGGTCCTTTTGTGGCAGGGCTGAAATGCAGTGGAAATGTTTTTGGGGGATTAAGTTCATTTTCATGGCAAAGAGGGACTTTGCAATTAATTGCAATTAATCTGATCACTCTTCATGACATTCTGGAGTATATGCAAATTGCCATCATCAAAACTGAGGCAGCAGACTTTGTGAAAATTTGAATTTGTGTCATTCTCAAAACTTTTCACCACGACTGTACACATCCCTTCTACGAGTTTGGCTAACTGACTTGGAACTAGTTCAGTCAGCTCTGCCAATCAATGAACAAAGGGGCGGAGAATGGACGTTTACGCACATCACGTCAAATACGTCTAATTTTTTTGGAAACATGTCGGCATCTGAGAAAACGACCAAGGTAAAGAAATATTAGCTTTAATTTGCTGTCTAGCTAGTTTACAACAGCTATCTTCATTGCAAATTTGCCAGTTATTCAATACCTCGAAGATGTATACCCGAAATGCAATCTTTACAAGGAAGTTGTTTGTTGTTTTGCTTGCAAAGTCTTGTTTCTTGCATTCTGCTAGCATAAAGGCAGCCGCCCCCCATGAACAATTAGCTAGCTAGCTAGCCACATAGCTAGAAAAGGGCTCTGAAAGATGAGGTAAAGGTTCACAATAAAACATTCATAGTAAATATTCCAACATTCTGCAATATATTTTGTGGTGATTGAGTGTCCACCATTTTCAATAGTGCTAAAATGTTTCACATTCAACTTCAGTAGCCACCTATTTGGCTCGTTCATACAGTAGGAATAGTTGAATTTCTACGCGTGCGTGCATTTTCCAGTGTCACTCACTACGATGTCAACACAACCTCTGGAGTTTGTGCATCAGATGGATAAAACTTCGACCTATTATGGATATTAAAATCTGTCTTGTTACGGTTGCATTTATGTATTCATTCATTCAGTATATGATTTGGAATGTAATCTGCAACTATTGCACATCAAATAAATTAAAAATGCTCCTTCATCTGCATGATATATGTGGCTCTACTCTGGTATTTGGTTTTCCAAATGTTAGGAGTTGTCTGAGAGTGATGCATTGGAAACTGATCCTGAAGTGAGACTCTCAAGCCAGTTGGATGAAGGTATGGATGTACATTGAGAATTTATAGATTTAGACATATCTGCCTATGTTCATACATACATACACAGCTTTTATGGAAACTCATTTGGGTTGTGCTGTGCATATTGATGCAGAGGCTTTGAATGTTTCCTAGGTGATGCAAGTACCGACACAGGAGTAGTTACTAAGGAGACCTTGCCCATGGGTGGGATGCTGTCACAGTCGCAACTCCATGAGATTCAGAGAGACGGTTCGAAAAACGGGGAGGAGAGCGAACAACCATCAACAACATCCTCTTCTGTGTCAGGCAGAACCCTCACAGGTAAAATATTGATCTATCTAGTATCAATGGTTACAAGACCAAAAAAATATTAATTTCATGTTTATCTCTTTGTCAGTTCTCTCTTTTTAGTTTTCATCTGATTTAATCTATGACCCCCCCGCACACAGGACATGCACCGAAGACCCTTCTATCCACATCCTCCTCTTCACTCTCCTCCTCCACCTCTACTTCCTCTCCTTCTGGCAGAGCAAAGATGAGTGTTTTTGGTCCTGGAAGTAAAGCTCTCCTGCCACCTCCCTCATCCTCCTCTCCCCCTCCTGTCCCTGGCCAGACAGTAAAGATACACCGTGCTCGCAAGACCATGAACAGACCTCCCCCAACACAGGTGAGTCTTCTAAGACGATGGCTGGTAGTAGCGCTATATTTTTTAGAATAGCCACTTAGTGATATCAATCAAAAAGGGCATATCTTATGTTTGAGTTAGTATGTTGACAAATCAGAGTATTTTACCACTCAAGTTATTTTATTCCTGTCACATTTTCACATTATCCCCTTCATGACCATCTGATCCATTGAGTCTTTGCCTTTCAGATGAGGTGCATTGAGTCGGCAATCGTGCTAGTCAACCCCACAGACCCCACGACCAGCTTCGCGACAGACAGTGATACTGGTCAATGTTGAAATATTGCATACATTTAGATTGACTTAAATGAAAGATTCACCCATTTTGAATGTTATATTGTATTTGTACATCTCTGAGCGATGTTCTATCGATTCCCAGGGTCATTTAATGTTTTCATGTGTAACTATTCACCGTTTAAGCAGGCAGAAATATAGCCGGTACGACGTGTTTTTCCCTGAGAATCAATAGAACAATGCTCAGAGATGCACAAATATGATATAAAATAAAAAATGGGTGAATCTTTCCTTTAACGTTTGTGTGTTAGATTACTTACTGTTGAGTTTGAATTCTATCACGTAATTTTTGTGTCTCTTACTCAGCAGCAGCAAAAAGGAGAAGGTTGGTCCAAGGTTTTGACGGTACACCTGAGAAGGCAGAGAGCGCTATAGGCACAGAGCAGAAGGTAAGGACGGGGCAGGGGTGTGTCAGTGCTTTATTATAGCATGAAGATAATAGTTGCTTAAAGGAGGTCTCATGTTGAGATATTAAGTAGTGACCCTGACCTAACGTTTTGTTTTTGTTACTTGAATTTCAGGCAGATCGTGTACTCCGTGAGGCGGCGAGACGGCGTGACAGTTGGCTGGAGGATGCGGAAGAGGACGAGTTTCTTCTCTATAACCCCTATGCAAGAGACGACACGGACGCAGCCTATTCCGACAGCAAGGTCAGAGGCTAATATCAATGTAATTAACACGCTCACCACAGAATAAATATGATTATTGTGGCCACAACCCATTTGTATTAACACTTTAACAGGCAGCTCAACCGGGCGAGGTAGCAACCAATTTTAAATGACATTTAACATATTCATTTTGTTTGGCATATTTTATAATCTCAACCAATGCCATTTAGTAAAATGATCATGTGGTTTTCATTATCGGACTCCCATATTTTTTGAAACACGGATTCAAAGATGGTTGAAAAACAGGACGTGAACATGAGCAAAACCGAACCTCATTTACCATACATTGTTTTTGTACTAATTGTGTATAAAATGGGAAATTACAACATAAAATGCTATTGACCTTTAAAGCATCATTTAAGAATGATTAAATTACTATGTTGTTGTTTTACAATTTTAGGAACTCTTGAAAAACATGCTCTACCAGGCGGTTGAGTTGCGCATTTAAAGGAACGATATTAAGTCAAAGCTAGTGATAATGGACAATGGAGAAATATTGTTATGGGATTTTTAGTCTGTGCAAATACAAAAATCCTTTCAAATCCATATCAGTATTCATATCTTCAATATGTTTCAGAATATCATTCAGTACATGTCATTTTACTGGTATTCTAAGCATATAAACTGTAAACGCATAAATGTAAATGCATTCTATTCATATTTTGACACACAAATGTATTATTTTAATATTTGATGTCAGTCCTCATTTAACTAGACCTATCTTCCATTAAAAGTAAATGAAGCAGACATAATGTAAATTCATGTCATTTTTTAGATGATTTAAAGTCTATGCAAATTCCAATACAAAGTTTGTATTGGGCAACCGGCTGGTTGAGATGTTTGCGATGCATTATCTATCAAAGTTTAAGTCATTCAAACACACTTTTTTCATATATGGCCTAAACTGAGGCTAAATACATATATAGTATTTTGCAGAAAAATTGTTCTTCTGATATTTTTCTCTTGGTGTACCAGTTAAAGGGTTAATGCTGAATAGCCACGATTTTGAATAGATACAATGAAACTGGTATATGTATACCTTCCATTTTTCCTTATGCAGTCTGAAGATGGTGGACTAGAGGAAAGGCTACATGAAAGAGATGCAGAGGAGTCTGGTAACATGTCTGATCATGTGAGTAGTTTTACCGGTCCGAGTTGGAAGTTACAATCATTTGCCAGGCAGTTTTAGGCTACATGTGTTTCATAAGATTCCCTTGCTTGAACATCATTTCTATTTGGTCAAAGCAATGTTCCTCTGTCAGTCAAGCAAACCCTCTTTGTCCTCAGAGCTCAGAGTCGGACCCACAGAGGCAGGGCCAGAGGAATGAAGGGAGCAGCGATTCGCCATGGACTCGCCCAGGGCGGGGCAAAGGGAGAGAGAGAGCCGAAGGAGTAGAGGCAGGAAGAGGTGAGTGACGGGGAGATCTATTCGTTTGTATAAATAGTCTTATCACCGGCACTATCATTATCACCACAGTGCCCTATTGATGGTCAATTATTATTTTATGTTGTAACTCCCAGCAGTGTCGGCAGCAGCTACTCTAGGTGGGTCCCGCGAGTACACAGAGGTTGCCTTGGGCTCCCTGGACATCGTGGCAACAGACAACCTAACACTCTCACCACAAAACGGTGGGTAGATTGTGTTCACACACAATACACAATCTGCATATGTCTAGCTTGGCGTATGCTTCCTGTAACTTTGACACAAATCTCCCATTGATGTCTTGTGAACACATGATGTGCGTACATAACTAAAGACACAATTTGGTTCTCAGTGAATAGCACTGATTATATGCTACAGTGAATAGTACCATAGAACACTGATGAGCGAATGTCATATCTGCATGTCTGTGTAGAAGGCAGTGATGCTGGGGAGACAGAGCGTCTGGAGGAGCTGCCTCTGTGTAGCTGCAGGATGGAGGCACCACGTGTAGACAGCGCCAGCAGACGGCCCAACAGACTCTGCATGGCCACAGAGAGTGTCAACGGAGAGGTGTGTGTGGCTGTGCACATGTAGCCTACATGAAGCTATGTTTTCCCTAGGATTTGTATCATCAGTGGTGGCAAAGTTAGCGTGGGGGGGGGCTCTCCGACCACACATACAAAATGTTGCTGTTTTAAAGCTAATTTCCTGCAATGCTACACATTTTGCGATGGGGCTGAGAGAGTTTGCAGATTAAAAGGTAATTTCCTGCAATTCTGCACATTTGACCATGGCTTATGCTGTGTTCTTTTGCAATCTAAGTGACTCAAACAGTATAACAAAATCAATGGGGGCCCCATGCCATGACATTTTTTGAATTTTAGATTCTCTGTGACTGTCTAGTTTTTATTCTGATGGTTGTTAGTTCTCAAAGATGATCTTATTAAAAAAATATATAGCTCCATTATCTTTTGTACTTATAAAAAAAAAAAGATCGTCATTTCTTTGGGAGTGGCGGACATTTTTTGGTAGTCGCTGCTAAATGAATATAGGGGCAACATGGTAAGCTGTTCAATCTCATATCGCATTTGGAATCAACATACGACTCGTTATTTATTTCCCCTTTCAATTGTTCACTTTCCCTCTCCCTCTTGTCTTTCGCAGCTGGTGGGCTGTACCAATATCATTCAGAAGGGGGAGACCATGCGGCCGTCCAGTCGGGTTTCCCTCATGGTGCTGTGCGAGAGCCATCGGTTACATATGGTCAAACATCACTGCTGCCCTGGATGTGGATACTTCTGTGTCGCAGTAAGGTTTTGTGCCACCCCGCAATCACACATACTATCTGATGTCAAAGAACTGGATAGGTGAAAGGAAATTCTAGGTAGACATCCTCCATATTGCTTTCACCTTAGACCTAGTTTTCAGATCTGTAAAGATGGAGAGGAGACACAGAGAGGCCACTGCAGACACTTGAAATGCATTATAAGTCTGTGCATGTACAGTATATGTTTGACCTGGCCTCACACCCCTCTCTCTCTCTGATCTCCCAGGGCACCTTCCTAGAGTGCTGTCCGGACCAGCGCATCGCCCACCGCTTCCACCGGGGCTGTGTGACAGTGCTGGGGGCTGGGAGGGGCAGGGGCATGGGCACTGGCATGCTCTTCTGTCCCCACTGTGGCGAGGATGCCTCGGAGGCCCAAGAGGTCACCATCCCCCCCTCAGCATCCGCGGCCACAGTAGTCACCACAAACGCCTCGTCCACCACCACACTGTCCCTCCCACCCCCCATCCCCTCGGCCCTCTCCCTGGCGGCCTCCATGGGGCCGCTGAAGAATGGGAAGAGGCCGGTGGGTCCTATCAGGTGAGGAGAAAGGGGGAGATAAAGATGTGTGATATGTCTAAGTGTAGGATGCAGTGCAATTATTGGGTGCTTTTGCTCTGCTTGTTGTATATTTGTGGATAATTGATTGATTTGAGCTTGTGTCTGTGAGTCTATTGTTTGATAACTATTCATATGGAAATAATCGATATTCGCACCACCCTAATCGTTGCAGCCTTTATTTACTTACTCTCTCTTTCTCCTCTCTATCTGTCAGTGCGAGGATGCGTGGGGTGGTAAAGAGGGACCCGGATCAGCAGGCCCCCCTAGCCACTCTGGCAGCAGGGCCTGTCAACACAGCCCCCCCAGGTGAGGGGGCAGTGGACAGTGTGGGACCCTCCCTCTGTCTGCCCAATGGGAAGCCAGTCTGTCCCAGTGCACTTCCCCCAGGGCCCAGTAGGGCGGCGCTGCAGAAGGCCATTCTCATCCAGGACACTGAGAGGTGAGACAAAATAATAAAATAGATTAATAATAGTCTAAGTCTTATAGAATATAATTCTTTATTGCAAATCAATGATTGATGGGAATTGTTTACAGCTAGACTTGGGCCCTGTTTGAATGCTTTGAAATACATCCATCTTTCCTCCTTTTGTTGAAATTCTAAATTTCTGAACTGACTGAATTGTGGAAAGCTATGTAGGGTAAATGTATTTGATGGTGTTGGATCAGTGATTAGTCCAAGGAATAGATGTGGGGGAGATGCATTTTACACAGAGTTCTGACAGCCATAACATAGGAGCTGTTCTCACATGGTGATTCTTGGTTGTGATTGGTCAGGAGGAAGAAGCTGAGGTTCCACCCCCGCCAGCTCTATCCAGCTGCCAAGCAGGGCGAGGTGCAGAGAGTTCTGCTCATGCTCAGTAAGTGTCATAAGGAGTCCTTTGTTCGTATTTTACTGTTAGATAAAATAGACATTCCTGATCTGATTGCATATTTTGTCTAAAGTGGCTTGCTCTCCTCATCTCTCCTTCATCTGCTCTGGAAACTCATGTTGTCCACTGTTCTTTCACATAAGTGCAAGTGAAGGAATGAGTTGATATTGACCCCTACTGCTGCTAATTACCCCTCCACTTGAGTTACTCTCTCTGTTTGGTTCAGTGGAGGGCATAGACCCAGCCTACCAGGCTGACTCCCAGAACAGACGCTGTGCTCTCCACGTTGCCGCCCAGAGAGGCCTGCTGGAGGTCTGCTACATGCTGGTGCAGGTGAACAAACTTTTCACTTCAATCATTACAACTGGGTAATATTCATTAGGCACCAAACTGAAGGAAACGGACTGAATCAGGGAGGGACTACCTGAAACTGTCCAATAAGAAATGCTTGTTTACGTTTTCTGTTGGAAATGTTTTGCTACAGTGTGCCCAAATGAATACGACCCTGCTCTTTATCTTTATGTTCAATGATAAAAGTGACTCCTTTTACTCTTATTCACCCCAATATGGATCAGTGTCACTCATACAGTTATTATTCACCAGAGTGCTCAAATATGTTTCTTGTCTATTTACAGGCAGGTGCTAAACTGGACGTCCAAGACCAATCTATGAGGACCCCTCTCCTGGAGGCCATCGTCAACAACCATGTGGAGGTGACCAGGTACCTGGTCCAGAGTGGAGCCTGCGTCTATCACACTGTGAGTGCCTGGTAAACAGCCCCTATACCAAAGCCGGCCAGCTAACATAATATAATAATATGATATGCCATTTAGCAGACTAGCTAACACTAGTAGCAGCTCTAAAAACATGAGCCTTAAAGGATTTAAACCTGAAAGAATTTGATCATCACCTTAAGTCACCTCAGAAGTCAACAGGAAGATCTATTATAGACTAACTGTAGCTAGGACCTGTAGGTGGCATGTTAATACAATCTTGATTGCAATCAAATTCTCCACGTCTGACAATATTAAAATGTGAAGATTTTTTTCCCCCTCCTATTGGCTTTTCCTCTCTTCTGTTTTTTTCCATTCTCTCTTCCTTTCCTCACTCTCTTTTCCTCTCCTCCCTCTCTCCTCCCCCTCCTCTGCTCTCCAGGAAGAAGATGGCTACACCGGTCTCCACCACGCGGCTAAACTGGGAAGTCTGGACATTGTCACCCTTTTGTTGGAGACTGGACAGGTGGACATCAACGCACAGGTGGGGCAGAGCAAGAGAGGAACACTATTGGGTTCTAGACAGGGTGGCAACAACCAACAAGTCAGTGTGTGTTTTATCAGTCTGTGTCCCTCTTTGTCGACTGCATACTTCACACTGCATCATGTCCAATGGCAACATTGTCTGTGTTCTGAGAATAATTGCTTTGATGACATTTTTTGCTGCTAACTAAAACTATGCATGCACAGTTGAAGATTATATAATTATTTTTATTTAATATGAAGTTGTAACCTTCTGTTTTTTTTGTTTACATAGGCCAACCAGATAGTTTATCTAATTTCAAAATGTATCCCTCTGTATGTTATGTGGGTCTCTGCAGTGTAGTACTCCTTCACTCTGCGTAGCACTAACACCTTCCTTTGTAGGTATAGTAATCATTCAATGTACCCAATAACAGATACTGTATCATGTGTCACTTGGTAATGTTAGTTACCTGTAGTTCTTAATTAGTCAATAGACTCTGAGTTAACTATTACCACCAGAATAAACATGTACAGTGCTATGAAAAAGTATTTGCCCCCTTTCTAATTTTCTCTACTTTTGCATATTTGTGATACTGAATGTTATCAGATCTTCAACCAAAACCTAATAGTAGATAAAGGGAACATAAGTGGACAAATAACACAACAATTACATATTTATTTCATAAACAAAGTTATGCAACACCCAATTCCCCTGTGTGAAAAAGTAATTGCCCCCTTACACTCAATAACTGGTTGTGCCACCTTTAGCTGCAATGACTCCAACCAAATGCTTCCTGTAGTTGTTGATCAGTCTCTCACGTCGTTGTGGAGGAATTTTGGCCCACTCTTCCATGTAGAACTGCTTTAACTCAGTGACGTGTGGGTTTTCAAGCATGAACTGCTCGTTTCAAGTCCTGCCACAACATCTCAATTGGGATTAGGTCTGGACTTTGACTAGGCCATTCCAAAACTTCCAATTTGTTGCTTTTTAGCTATTTTCATGTAGACTTGATTGTGTGTTTTGGATCATTGTCTTGCTGCATGACCCAGCTGCGCTTCAGCTTCAGCTCACAGACGGATGGTCTGACATTCTCCTGTAGAATTATCTGATACAGAGCAGAATTCATGGTTCCTTCTATTAAGGCAAGTCGTCCAGGTCCTGAGGCAGCAAAGCATCCCCAAACCATCACACCACCACCACCATGCTTGACCTTTGGTATGATGTTCTTACTGTGGAATGCAGAGTTTGGTTTTCGCCAGGCATTACTGGAACCATGTCGTCCAAAAAGTTATACTTTTGAATCATCTGTCCATAGAACGTTCTTCCAAGAGTCTTGATGATCATCCAGGTGCTTTTTGACAAACTTGAGTCAACTTTTTGGACGAGATGGGTCCCATTATGCCTGGCGAAAACCAAACACTGCATTCCACAGTAAGAACATCTGTCTGTGAGCTGAAGCTGAAGTGCAGCTGGGTCATGCAGCAAGACAATGATCCAAAACACACAATCAAGTCTACATGAAAATTGCTAAAAAGCAACAAATTGGAAGTTTTGGAATGGCCTAGTCAAAGTCCAGACCTAATCCCAATTGAGATGTTGTGGCAGGACTTGAAACGAGCAGTTCATGCTTGAAAACCCACACGTCACTGAGTTAAAGCAGTTCTGCATGGAAGAGTGGGCCAAAATTCCTCCACAGCGACGTGAGAGACTGATCAACAACTACAGGAAGCATTTGGTTGGAGTCATTGCAGCTAAAGGTGGCACAATCAGTTATTGAGTGTAAGGGGGCAATTACTTTTTCACACAGGGGAATTGGGTGTTGCATAACTTTGATTATGAAATAAATATGTAATTGTTGTGTTATTTGTCCACTTATGTTCCCTTTATCTACTATTAGGTTTTGGTTGAAGATCTGATAACATTCAGTATCACAAATATGCAAAAGTAGAGAATTAGAAAGGGGGCAAATACTTTTTCATAGCACTGTATGTTTAATCTATCTACCAGTTCCATGTACTGTACTGAACCATAGCACTTGTGTTTGGCTGTATTGGCTTGAGTACCATTGTATAGTCCAGTCCCCTAACCCTCTGAGTCATTGTGTTGTACATCCCTCTCAGGATAGTGGAGGCTGGACTCCTATCATTTGGGCTGCAGAGCACAAGCACATTAAGGTCATCAGAGCACTGCTTAACAGGGGGGCTGATGTCACCCTGAAGGACAAGGTTAGTCTTTCTGTCCTGGTATAACAACATATGGGCATACAATGGGCAAACTGATTTTGAAGGAGGATGTGGAGGATTTATAGGCACGGCATGTCACAAATCCTTGAAACGACAGCATTTGCTTCTTGATACTTGATTTATTGAAGGTGTAGGTAATTTTGGTTGTAGTACTCCAAACCTTTCTTTCTATCCATTAATTTGTTGTGATCAAAGTCCCTCTGGGATGATAAAAATCTCTTCTTCTCACTCTCTCTATTAGGAGATGAATGCGTGTCTCCACTGGGCGTCATTCGCAGGCTGTGTTGGGATAGCAGAGATGGTGCTGAACGCCGGCTGCCCGCTGTCCTCTGTCAACATGCACGGGGACACTCCCCTACACATCGCTTCCAGGGAGGGTTTCCTCGAGTGTGTAACGTGAGTAGACCAATACCCTGTCAATCGCATACATCGGTCACTACTAGGGCTGTTACAGTGACCTTATTACCGCCACACCGGCGGTCACGAGTCATGATGGCAGTCAAATTCCATGTGACTGTTTAGTCACGGTAATTAGGCTTCTCCAAGCTCTGATGCTGGTGATGGTTATTAGTAGCCTACCAAACGTTCTAACTGCCTGGTACTCAGCACTGTATTGTCCCTCTAATCACTCTGACGTCAATGCAAATATAATCGAAAATCATGAGAGCCCGTGAGCTCATGTTGCGCAACATTTCTATAGGCTATGCAATTGCGTGAGAAAACAGAGTGATGGCCTCCTAAAAAGAGGAGGATCCCATCAGCTTTCTATAGGCTAGACCTACTATATTTATTTCTCAACCTTCCTAAGATTAAGCACATTGCTTATCTTTAAAACAGGAGTATAGCCTACCTGGCTGGCATGAAAATGAACCACGGGAAACGTGTCCTCCATTCGCTATTTAAGTGCATAGATGACATGTCTTTTTTTCCCGCTGCCCCTGTTTCGAGACTGTTGCATGATAATTGTCCATTCTAAATAAATAAAAAAAATCCACAATTTAGTATATGTAAAGACAAGATTAAATCAAGGAGAGTGTGATGGGTGACAACATTAGCCTATCACTTGTGAATGATACAGTGCATTCGGAAAGTATTCAGACCCCTTGACTTTCTCCACATTTTGTTACAGCCTTATTCTAAAATTGATTAAATTGTTTTTTCCCCCTCATCAATATACACACAATTCCCCATAATGACAAAGCAAAAACAGGATTTTATAAATGTATGCAAATGTATAAAATAAACTCATCACATTTACATAAGTATTCAAACTCTTTACTCAGTACTTTGTTGAAGCACCTTTGGCAGCGATTACAGGCTCGAGTCTTCTTGGTATGACGCTGCAAGCTTGGCACACCTGTATTTGGGGAGTTTCTCCCATTCTTCTCTGCAGATCCTCTCAAGCTCTGTCAGGTTGGATGGGGAGCGTCGCTGCACAGCTGTTTTCAGGTCTCTCCAGAGATGTTTGATTGGGTTCAAGTCCGGGCTCTGGCTGGGCCTCTCAAGGACATTCAGAGACTTGTCCCGAAGCCACTCCTGCGTTGTCTTGGCTGTATGCTTAGGGTCGTTGTTCTGTTGGAAGGTGAACCTTCGCCCCAGTCTGAGGTCCTGAGAGCTCTGGAGCAGGTTTTCATCAAGGATCTCTCTGTACTTTGCTCCATTCATCTTTCCCTCGATCCTGACTAGTCTCCCAGTCTCTGCCGCTGAAAAACATCCCCACAGCATGATGCTGCCACCCCCATGCTTCACCGTAGGGATGGTGCCAGGTTTCCTCCAGATGTGACGCTTGGCATTCAGGCCAAATAATTCATTCTTGGTTTCATCGAACCAGAGAATCTTGTTTCTCATGGTCTGAGAGTCCTTTAGGTGCCTTTTGGCAAACACCAAGCGGGCTGTCATGTGCCTTTTACTGAGGAGTGGCTTCCGTCTGGCCACTCTACCATAAAGGCCTGATTTGTGGAGTGCTGCAGAGATGGTTGTCCTTCTGGGAGGTTTTCCCATCTCCACAGAGTGACCATCTGGTCCTTGCTCAGTTTGGCCGGGCGGCCAGCTCTAGGAAGAGTCTTGGTGGTTCCAAATTTTAAGAATGATGGAGGCCACTGTGTTCTTGGGGACCTTCAGAAATGTTTTGGTACCCTTCGCCAGATCTGTGCCTTGACACAATCCTGTCTCGGAGCTCTACGGACAATTCCTTCGACCTCATGGCTTGGTTTTTGCTCTGACATGCACTGTCAACTGTGGTACCTTATGTAGACAGGTGTGCCTTTCCAAATCATGTCCAATCAATTGAATTTACCACAGGTGGACTCCAATCAAGTTGTAGAAACATCTCAAGGATGATCAATGGAAACAGGATGCAACTGACCTCAATTTTGATTCTCATAGCAAAGGGTCAGAATACATATGTAAATAAGGTATTTCTGTTTTTTCTAAAAACCAGTTTTTGCTTTGTCATTATGTGGTATTGTGTGTAGATTGAGGAATTATTATTTTTAAAATCCATTTTAGAATAAGGCTTTAACGTAACAAAATGTGGAAAAAGTCAAGGGGTCTGAATATTTTCCAAATGCACTGTATATTATCACTTGTTAATGATGCCGAGCTTAAGGCAAAGAGCGCATGCTTTTTTGGGTGACTTTTTCAAATCATAGTCTCACACCTCATGTAGCCTAGCCCATAGGCCTATATGTTTTGATAAGGTTTGTATCACAACTAAAGTGGCCAAATAACTTCTTAAAATGAAGCACATTAATCCGCATTACAACCGGTGTAGATACATGTGAGTTTCAAGTTTGGGGAAGATAATTTTCACCATAAGAATGCACCTTTATAATAAAAGCATTACATGCATAATCGCATTTGTGGTCACTTTTGAGATTGGTGTTTTCCTGCTAATGGAACATTTGCGCTTATAGCCTACTGCTGTGTGTGCATTGCTGCGCTTATAATGTGATAGCCTAATAGTTTATCAACATTTTAAGCTAAACTTTCTCATCTGTTGCATCAGGCTCATTGCGTAAAACAGGTTTTTTAATGCTAGTGGTTGTATTCATTTGGGATCTATCTCATCTCACAACTGACCCGGACTATGTTTGGAATATTTATTTCTCGCACAGAATAGAATAAGTCAACTTTTGTACTATGGGGGATAGTAGATTGACATAGGCTAGTGCTTTTGCTGTTTGTTAGGCCTACTCATCTTGTTGGCTGACAAAGTAAATGTGGACAATTCTTCCAATATCTTCAATATGCGCCTCGGAATTGGATAAGGACGCACGCAGTTACGTCCCCGACGTGTTTGTCTTCACTTGTAGTCTGTGAGAAAGACCCGATCACGTGACTGAGAGCCATGTAAGTGAGAGGTGCTTCAGCACGCAGCGGGGTGAAGGGAATTATAATTATTATATTCAGCCCAAGGGCACAACAGCCACTGGCCGCAAAAGGCATGCATTCTTTTGGGGGGATTATGGCCACACAAAGGGGATGCAGCCGGGAAATTTGAGGCATTATCAAGTGCTTGTCAAATTGTGAATGAGAGACTGTGTGTGTACAGCCTGTGCAAAAACCAAAGCAGAGCTCATGCCTTTCATGCGACTTTTTTCAAATCCTCTTTACAGTCGCATCAGAATGTATTAAAAATCAAAACATATAACCCAACATCTGTATCACAACTAAAGTTACATAAATAACTCTAAATTAAGCATATAGGAGTACATGTTTCTTTGTTAACCGCTCAACACAGAAAAGCCGCATGTGCTTACTCCCTCAAATAGTTTGGAGAAAATATAATTTATATTTTATTCAGCAATGTTCAATTGTATTCTTCATACGCTAAGCAAATCTTGTCTGATAAATGAACTAGTGTAGCCCACAGCCATATGGCATAGCCAGATCAGGGTCTAACATAAGGACAACTCAGAGTATGCTATTATGTTCTTCTGAAATATACAGCATTTTCTTCTTATCATGTTTCTTTAGACCTGTCTAAAATAAATAATGGATTTATTGTGATGGTGTAGGCTACATTTAATGGATTTAATAGACTTTTTCAAATGTAGATGTTCCAAAGGTCTGCATCAGTGGCTTGTAGGCAATGCGTGGAAGCTAGGAGATGCTAAATGTGTTTTATGTTAATTAACGGTCAATTACCATGAGACCAGCAGTTATTTGCTTGACAATCACTGACAAAATTTCATGACAGCCCTAGTCACTCCTATAGTCTGGTAGTTTGGAATATAAGGAATTTGTCCGTAGACACTGATCTGAAGTCAGTTGAGTATTTTACGCCCATAATGGTTGAGGTTAGGGTATGGGAAGGGTAATCTGATGCTAGATCTGTGCCTAAGGGCAACTTTAACACTTTGTTTGCTTATTTCCTCTCTACAGGCTCTTCCTCTCTAGGGGGGCAGACATCGATATCATGAACAGGGAAGGGGACACGCCTCTTTCTCTGGCGCGTTCCGATTCGCCCGTCTGGGTGTCACTCCAGATAAACAGGAAGCTGCGGAGGGGGATAGCCAATCGTATGGTTCATACAGAGAAGATCATCAGCAGTGACGTAGCCCAGGGGTATGAGAATGTGCCTATCCCATGTGTGAACGCAGTGGATGATGAGGGATGTCCCTCAGACTACAAGTACGTCTCAGAGAACTGTGAGACTTCAGCCATGAACATCGACCGCAACATCACGCACTTACAGGTGCATACGGTAACACCACACACTTTTAGATGTTACATATGATACTTATCATTGATCATGCATGCATCTTGCCTTTCTATAAACCTGTGTCTGTCTCTGTCCCTCAGCACTGCAGCTGCACAGACGACTGCTCCTCCAGCAACTGTCTGTGTGGACAGCTCAGTATCCGCTGCTGGTACGACAAGGTTAGTGACGCATGATTTATTTTACATCCCACTTCCACTGCTCTAGAGTCCAATGGTAGCGAGCTTTACACCACTCCAGCCGACGCTTGGCATTGCGCATGATCTTAGGCTTGTGTGCGGCTGCTTGGCCATGGAAACCCATTTCATGAAGCTCCCAACTAATAGTTATTGTGCAGACATTGCTTCCAGAGGCAGCTTTGAACTCGGTAGTGAGTGTTGTAACTGAGGACAGACGATTTTTACGCGCTACACACTTCAGCACTCGGCGGTCCTGTTCTGTGAGCTTGTGTGGCCTACCACTTCGTGGCTGAGCCGTTGTTGGTCCTACATGTTTCCACTTCACAATAACAGCACTTACAGTTGACCGGTACAGCTCTAGCAGGGCAGAAATTTGACGAACTGACTTGTTGGAAAGGTGGCATCCTATGACGGTGCCACGTTGAAAGTCAGAGCTCTTTAGTAAGGCCATTCTACTGCCAATGTTTGTCTATGAAGATTGCATTCCTGTGTGCTTGATTTGATATACGCTTGTCAGCAACGGGTGTGGCTGAAATAGCCGAATCCACTAATTTGAAGGGGTGTCCACATACTTTTGTATATATAGTGTATGTGGCATCTATGGACAAAGGTCTTTCAATGCAATATTTTTCAGAGTACCTAAAACAACATGGCAACTATTGACCAATAAACATTCACGTGAGCGTGGCCTGGCACATAAATGCATATAAATCAGTGAAGGATATTCGTATTGTAACACAATTTAGTACACATTGCGAAAACATATGTACAAGCGTTCATATCGACCACACGGTGGCGCTATAACGGGCACATTTTAATCTCTTGATCTGTTTGACTCAGTGTGCTGAAATTTTGCACACATGCTCAGGGATATGTGTCTAGCTAACCCACGGGATATCTCAGACACCACTGGCCCGATTTTTACAGAACTTAGGTGAATGATGTGTCTTGCCATAGAGATCTGGCATTTACAAAACTACACTGGTTGGCCCAAGGGGGGCATTGCATCATTTGTGGGGGACTACATGTTTACTGTTGCCTTTTTTGATCATGGTTAGTGATGCACCCAGTAGTAATACGAGACAGAATTTACTTACCAAGCTGTCACCAAGCCATCTCTCTCGAAAGACTGGCGAGGTCGTTTGGAGGGCTCTGTCCTTTTTCTTTAGCTTATTTCTATTTTCACGGTGAAGGGCTAAAATATCGTTATTGTTCCCCACAATCAAATCGTAGGGGGGGGACTATGGATCTGTCTCCGTATGTACGTTAGTCACGCACCAATATCTGACACCACCGTCCCGATTTTGACAAAACTTGGGTGAATGATGTGTCTTGCCATAGAGATCCGGCATTTATAAAATTGCACTGATAGGCCCAAGTGGGGATGCTGCATCATTTGTGGGGGACAACATATTTATAGTTATTTTTAATTATAGAGCTCGTCAGTATCTTATGTTGATTTCTTTCACCCATGTGTTTTCTGTGTTTACCAGGACCACCGGTTGCTCCAGGAGTTCAATAAAATCGAACCGCCTCTCATATTTGAATGTAACCTGGGGTGCTCCTGCTTCCGCACCTGCAAGAACAGAGTGGTGCAGGCGGGCATCAAGTAAGAGCTGTGTTACTACACCACTGTACACATTGAAATCAAATTACAACACAATTTTATATACAGCGCCTTTAGAAATTATCCATACCCCATTACTTATTCCACATTTTGTTGTTACAGCCGGAATTCAAAATTCTCACCCATGTACACACAATACCCCATAACGACAAAGTGAAAACATGTTTTTAGAAATGTTAGCACATTTATTGAAAATGAAATAAAGATATCTAATTTACATAAGTATTCACACCCCTGAGTCAATACTTTGTAGAAGCACCATTGGTAGTGATTACAGATGTGAGTCTTTCTGGGTAAGTAAGAGCTTTCCACACCTGGATTGTACAACATTTGCCCATTTTTATTTTATTTTTATTCTTCAAGCTCTGGTGATTACAGCTTTGAGTTGTCTTGGGTATGTCTGTATCAGCTTTGCACATCTAGATTTGGGGATTTTCTCAAGCTCTGTTAAAATAGATGGGGAGTGGTGGTGAACAGCAATCTTCATGTCTTCCCACAGATTTTCAATGGGATTCAAGTCTGGCGTTTGGCTGGGCCACACAAGGACTTTAACGTTCTTGTTCTGAAGCTATTCCAGCGTTTCTTTGGCTTTATGGTTGGGGTCATTGTCCTGTTGGAACGTAAATCTTTGCCCAAGTCTAATGTCATTTGCACTCTGAAGCAGGTTCTCATCAAGGATTTACCTGTATTTGGCGCCATTCATTGTTTCCTCTATACTGACCAGTCTCCCAGTCCATTCTGCTGAAAAGCATCCCCATAGCATGATGCTGCCACCACCATGCTTCACGGTAGGGATTGTGTTAGACAGTTGATGAGCTGTGCCTGGTTTTCTACAGACATAGCACTTTGCATTCAGGCCAAAAAGTAACATTTTTGAGTCTTTCACATGCCTTTTTTGCAAACTCCAGGTGTGCTGTCATGTGCCTTTTTCTCAGGAGTGGCTTCCGTCTGGCCACTCTCCAATAAAGCCCAGATTGGTGAAGTGCTGTAGAGACTGTTGTCCTTCTGGCAGGTTCTCCCATCTCAGCCAAGGAACTCTGTAGTTCTGTCAGAGTGGTCATTGGGTTCTTGGTCACCTCCAAAATAGAATTAATCCATTTTGAATTCAGGCTGTAAAAAAAGATGTGGAATAAGTCAAGGAGTATGAATACTTTCTGAAGGCACTGTATCTATGACTGTACCCTCATCTCTTACTCACTTGTATACTTTATCTTGGTCTTAGGGTGCGTCTCCAGTTGTACCGGACAGAGAAGATGGGATGGGGAGTTCGGGCTCTACAGGACATTCCCCAAGGCAGCTTCATCTGCGAGTAAGTGTGTGTGCGTGGGAATGGTTATTTAAAGGAAATTAGTATTATTAGCCAATCTAATGTGTCTTACCCGTTCTATCAATTAGTTAATTGTCTTGTTGATAGATGTAAGTAACATTTCTCTCCACACAGATATGTAGGAGAACTGATCTCTGACGCAGAGGCAGATGTAAGAGAAGATGACTCCTACCTCTTTGACCTGGACAACAAGGTACCTCATCTGTTTTTCCTCTCATAGGGATTACACATCAAAACAATAAAATACATCAAATTGTATTTGTCACATGCGCTGAATACAACACGTTTAGACTTTACTGTCATTTAGACACAGAGATACGTTTTAAAAACAGACTACTGATCTACCAATGTAACTCAGTACATCACCAACCCTCTCTCCCTCTTTCTCTCCTTCCCTCTAAAGGACGGGGAGGTGTACTGCATTGATGCCCGGTATTACGGTAACATCAGCCGCTTCATCAACCACCTGTGCGACCCCAACATCATCCCTGTGCGGGTGTTCATGCTGCACCAGGACCTGCGCTTCCCCCGCATCGCCTTCTTCAGCTCCCGAGACATCCTCACAGGACAGGAGCTAGGGTGAGAGGCTGCACCGCACACACACTGTGGATCTGAGCCACAGACACAAAATGGATGCCCAATGGAGTGGTTTTGATACTGCCTTAGGAAAGCAGAGTGGAAACAACATGATTTGGCACCACCTTTTCAGTAACAGTAGCATCTATTCGATGTATCACTTCTCTTGCACCAGAAATAAAATGGCCTGAGTATATTGTTTATTCCACTGATTTATGATGTTGACGTACACTACCGTTCAAAAGTTTGGGGTCACTTAGAAATGTCCTTGTTTTTGAAAGAAAAGCCATTTTTTTGTCCATTAAAATAATATCAAATTGATCAGAAATACAGTGTAGACATTGTTAATGTTGTAAATGGCTATTGTAACTGGAAATGGCTGATTTTTTTTAATGGAATATCTACATAGGCATACAGAGGCCCATTATCAGCAACCATCAGTCCTGTGTTTCAATGGCACGTTGTGTTTGCTAATCCAAGTTTATCATTTTAAAAGGCTAATTGATCATTAAAAAAACATTTTGCAATTATGTTAGCACAGCTGAAAACTGTTGTGCTGATTAAAGAAGCAATACAACTGGCCTTCTTGAGACTAGTTGAGTATCTGGAGCATCAGCAATTGTGGGTTCGATTACAGGCTCAAAATGGCCAGAAACAAAAAAAAGTTTTTCTGAAACTCGTCAGTCTATTCTTGTTCTGAGAAATGAAGGCTATTCCATGCGAGAAATTGCCAAGAAACTGAAGATCTCGTACAACGCTGTGTACTACTCCCTTCACAGAACAGCGCAAACTGGCTCTAACCAGAATATAAATAGGAGTGGGAGGCCCCGGTGCACAACTGAGCAAGAGGACAAATACATTAGAGTGTCTAGTTTGAGAAACAGACGCCTCACAGGTCCTCAACTGGCAGCTTCATTAAATAGTACCCGCAAAACACCAGTCTCTCCGGGATGCTGACCTTCTAGGCAGAGTTGCAAAGAAAAAGCCAAATCTCAGACTGGCCAATAAAAAGAAAATATTAAGATGGGCAGTCTGAGATATGGCTTTTTCTTTGCAACTCTAGTTTCAGAAAAAAGTTATTTGTTTCTGGCCATTTTGAGCCTGTAATCGAACCCACAGTTGCTGATGCTCCAGATACTCAACTAGTCTAAAGAAGGCCAGTTTTATTGCTTCTTTAATCAGCACAACAGTTTTCAGCTGTGCTAACATAATTGCAAAAGGTTTTTTTAATGATCAATTAGCCAATTAAAATGATAAACTTGGATTAGCAAACACAACGTGCCATTGGAACACAGGACTGATGGTTGCTGATAATGGGCCTCTGTACGCCTATGTAGATATTCCATAAAAAATCAGCCGTTTCCAGCTACAATAGCCATTTACAACATTAACAATGTCTACACTGTATTTCTGATCAATTTGATGTTATTTTAATGGACAAAAAAATTGCTTTTCTTTAGAAAACAAGGACATTTCTAAGTGACCCCAAACTTTTGAACAGTAGTGTACATTGTAATTCCAGGCTGAGAATTTGATCAATGTTCTGTGTGCACAGGTTTGATTATGGAGACCGCTTCTGGGACATCAAGAGTAAATACTTCACCTGCCAGTGTGGATCAGAGAAATGCAAACACTCAGCGGAGGCCATTGCCTTGGAGCAGAGCAGGCTCGCTCGACTGGAGACCTGCCCAGAATCGGAGACTGACCCTGGGCTTGCCATGCTAGGAAACTTCTAGGCTTTCCCTGGGGCCTGTTGCATGTATTTCTCCGTTTTTGTACTCACTCTTACATTTTGTATGAATTTGTACAGTTATTGTTTGTGTGGTAAACAAGCCTTAACTTTTTCCATGTATCGGATATAAATGACTGAAAAAAGGGTGTCTTCTGTGTAAGACCCTTTCATACAGTACAGTATTTTTTATTTTTTTTACTGTAATGTTGCTATGCCCCTTTGCCATGAGACAGTGGCACTACAGCATGCTATGCTAGTTATGCTCACCACATGCTGTGCCAAATACATACTCAACAATTAATTTCATAGTACATAGTCTGAGATGCAGTGCCTTAGACCACTGCGCCACTCGGGAGCCCAAGTGGCGTCACTACAGACCCCCTGGCTTGATTCCAGGCTGTATCACAACCGGCCGTGATTGGGAAACCCATAGGGCGGCGCACAATTGGCCCAGCGTCGTCCGGGTTTGGCCGGTGTAGGCCGTCATTGTAAATAAGAATTTGTTCTTAAATGACTTGCCAAGTTAAATAAAGGTAAAATAAAAAAAATAGTACTCTACCATGATACCATCTACTGCTGTTAAGCAATTGAAGAAGTTACTGACAGCTGACTTGAGTAGTATTGTGATCATATTGAATATGTCTGTTTTTATACAAAATTATAGTTTTGTTTTGTCATTTAATAAATTTGATTCAAAATTGACTAATGGATCCACTGTCATTTGTTTCAGCAGTGTTGCATTTCATACAACTCACTGAATATCAAGCAGCCCAGACAATCCAGAGAATTTGTGGTTCTAATTTCTGCATAGTTTGCTAAAAAGTAGTTGAGATAATGTAACATTCCATCTGTAACTTTATTTTTTGAGTTTGAGACTAGGCTCTGAACAGCACCTTAATCTGGTCTTTGACAGAGTTCTTGGGACGTGTTGAATAGGTGACACTTCACTATTCAACCATGCTTTCCTTCCCCTGCCCCAATTCATGGTTATTGCAATCTTCTACAACTCATGATGGGAAAGGGAGTATGAACTCTGCTTTTATAACTTCTTCAGTAATACTGACAGAAAAGTCAATTTGACAGCCTTCTTTATGTTAAACACTATCTGGTTGGGTTGTGCCAGGTTTCATGTTGTGGTGAACTGAAGAACATAGGCGAGATATTAAACATATCCAAAGCAATAAGGAAGGGCTCTTAGTGTGATGGTAGGAAATGTCACTCCATCAAACATCTAAATAAAATGTTTGTATTTCTCTATGTCTCAAACATTATCATACACAATTTGATCATTTTCAACTGAAATGTCATCAGATGTGTTCGTTCGGGTATTTTAAATAGAAATGTATTATATAGGCATACAGCCAAATAATCCGAAAAATGTCATTTCATTTACTACGTGCAGGCCCATCTAACAGCAGGGGGCATTTAGTAAAGGGAGGCCAAGGGACGGGAATGCTACACCACGCCTGCAGGCAGGTGCGCGTCACACAACAGGTGCGTTCGTGATGTCACAATCCTAGTCACTGGAGGGCGACGGAGAAAGATTTCTTCAAAGCAAGTTTGCTTTTTATGTGCATTAAGTGTAGGTAACACCCTTTAAGACGTTGTTTTATACTTTTGTTTTGATTATTTAACTTCGACTTGATTTACCTGGCCATTTGGACGTTTTAGACGATTATAAACTAGTGGAGGAAAGGATATGAAATGGGTAAAAACCTGAAGGATGAGAGCTCGGAGTCGTCGGAATATGGTGAGTACATTTCACATCGCCGGTTACGTTACCTGGACTAGTATTTGTCTAACCTCACAGAATAGTGTCATATTCTCGGTCATATTTCTTCAATGAAAAATGTTTATTTATTTGTCTCTAGTCTAGCCTATTTGCGTTTTTCCAGTGATGAAAACACAGAGTTCCTTATGAGTGGTGACCCCTATTAGGCCTACATCTCTAGAGGTGTCACATTTGGGTCTATAGCCGATGACCGCATATCTGAGTAGCCTAATAACAATGTGTGACATTGTCAATTGCTTATTATTCAAGATGTACATACTTACTGTATAGTTATAGGCAAAGTTGATAATTGTTTTCATGACATTCAAAACATTTCAAGACATTTTACAAAAATACTACAACAATCATATATTTGGTTATTGAATCTTTTAAACTGTAAAGATATTCTTGATATATAAATGCAGCAAAAAAAAATTTTTTCCATTTCAATCTGTGATATAAAATCAATATTCAGTAAGCATTACAGGCAACATCACATCAACTTTCTAACTCGGCTGAATAAAACGGAAGTGCACTTGTAGCTGATATTCTATGGCATGCCAATGCTTTCATGTAGGTTTTTGCATTAGATGGGGAAATATAGAGGAGGAAGTTTGAATATTTATTGTATGAAAAATATGTTTTGTTGTGAGCCATTCATTCTCTGTCAGTCTGCTGTGAGTTGTGGTGTTCATACGGAGCCATGTTTAGCATATGTCCATCTCTGGGTGTGCCTGTGTATAAAGGCTCACTGCCTTAGTGTGTCTTATTACCTGTCCACCTTACTCAAGGGCTGTATCCCAAATTGCACCCTATTCCCTAAATAGTGCACTGCTTTTGACCAGGTCCATAGGGCCATTTGGGACATAATCCAGTTTTTTGCGCGAGATGAATGGAGTCTATTGACAGTCTGGGAGTTCTGAAACAGTACTGGGATGCTTGTGTAAACAAATGAAGTTTGCATAGAGCGCAAGAGCAGAAGAGGAGACAGGAGAGTAAAAGACATGGGTAAATGAGCAGCAGGTAAACCAAAGTAAAGGCCAGGGCCCATATCCACAAAATGTCTGAGAGTAGGAGTGCTGATCTTTCCATACAATCTTATTTATTATTAACTAAAAGGCTAAACTGATCCTAGATCCTGGTATTCAAAAAGCCACTCCATGTAAATTCAGTTGCCTCTTGGATAGGTAAAGGCGCCAGTGTCCAGTGTCCAGTCTGTCCATCCTGTTTCCAAAGAAGGAAGTGGTTTCCTTTGCAATCTTATGAGGAAGCAAACATGTATTCCTATTGACAGAGTTCTTACACCCTCAGTTTGCAGAATGAGTCTATTTGACTTTCAGCTGAAAGTTTCATTTGATTGAGAGGTCAAACATTAAGGTTTTCTTTTCCTGATCAGCAGCCCTTGACGTCAGCAGTCTTTTGTGTTCTGAGGTTAAGTTTAATCTACACCAGGGGTGTCGAACTCATTTTGCTCCTGGGGCCACACTGAAAATGGGTTATATTTTCTTGCCGTCAAAATTTGCAAAATAATAGTTCTCTGTCCATCATTTTTTACATTTTCAATGCTCGCTGACTGTCTAGTGATTATTAGTGAGCTGGACAGTCAAGAAACTGTAAGAATATAGGTCCAATATAATCTCTACACAGTTCTGATTTGGTTTGCGTAATTTTAAAGTATATTGAGTTCGTTTTACCCCCCCCCCCAAAAAAAAAAAAAACATTCCTCCCCAAAAGTTTTAATTTGTATTTTTGTACTCCAACCACCCGCCGGCCGAATTGGACCCCTGGGCTGTATGTTTGACACCCCTGCTCTAGACTGTGTGGTTAATACTGAAAAGCATGGCCTCCTGAGTGGCGCAGCGGTCAAAGGCACTGCAGTGCTTGAGGCGTAACTACAGATACGGGTTCGATCCTGGGCTGTGTCGCAGCCGGCCGCGACCGGGAGACCTTTGAGGCGACGCACAATTGGCCCAGCATCGTCCGGGTTAGGGGAGGGTTTGGCCGGCTGGGATGTCCTAGTCCCATCGTGCTCTAACGACTCCTGTGGTGGGCCGGGCGCATGCACGCTGACATGGTCGCCAGTTGTACGGTGTTTCCTCCGTTACATTGGTGCAGCTGCCTTCCGGGTTAAGCGAGCAGTGTGTCAAGTGCAGTACGGCTTGGCAGGGTCGTGTTTCGGAGGACGCATGGCTCTCGACCTTCGCCTCTCCCGAGTCCCTACGGGAGTTGCAGTGATGGGACAAGACTGTAAATACCAATTGAGGAGAATGGGTAAAAAATATATGCACTTTTATTTTTATTTTATACAAATACAATATAAAAAATACTGAAAAGCCTACAATAATGGCCTCCTAATCATTGACCAGTCATTAGTGTGAGGTGAGCCAGGCCTAAGAGCAAGTACCAAAGAACATTTGAGAACCAAGTTTGAAAGGCAATGATTCAACTACACAAAGACCACACTGGTTTGAACACTTCTGCTGCTTTTAGCACTATAGATACAAATGCTGTCACTAAGGTGCTGGACCTGGACTGGTTTTTATTAATGTGAGATACTGTTAGAACCGAGGTCACTTGTGTCATCTCTTTATTTTTTTAGAGGCGCCATGAGGTTATAATTATGTATTAGCAAGCTAATATTTAGCTACATCTCCACAAAATAGTGAACTGAGAGAGGGAATTGGTGATGGAAGACTAGGCGAGCTACTGTACATCTGATTCTGCATCACACAGAAGTGTTCAAAACCGGACGGCCAGCACTGTAGTCACTGTAGACAATCTTCAGTTCATGGACCTAGCAGCATCACTTCAGAAATGTCCTTTTGGTGGATAGGATTGTCTTCTTTAGACATGCAAATGTGTTAGGTAACACCTTCCTGCAAGCAAGCTAGAAATGAATGCTCCATTCTTCTTTTTATGCCTCGGCATGCTTCAGTTAGGCTGGCGGCTAGGCGAACCGAACGAGTGTGCTCGCATACTCCCTTAAAATACTTTCGCTTGAAAAACAAGAAAGAATCGGCAATAGTACTGTTTGTCCATTTTGAGACGCTGTAGCCACACTTCCTCAAAATAGTCAGAATTAATCTACTATCTCAATAAATCTGTAATTCATTTTGAGGCTTTTGCCGAGGAGATCTTAGTTGCGCAATTCTAACTAAGATGTTTGGTGCAGTATTTCTCAATTAAAAAACGTGCATGAAAACGAGTCGTCTCTCGTTCCTTCTCTCGGTCCC